TCTCCCTCCCTTGTACGCGAATCGTGCGCGTGATTGTGTGGCACACAGACGCTCGCAGCTGGGCGGAAGCCAAGATGCTCCGGCGACGTCGTCATCGAGGTGCGCTCTCACCACCAACCACAAACCACGAATCCAGGATCGGCGCGGGAGGGGGCAGGCGAGGGCTGGAGGGGGCGGGCGCCGAGCATGGTGGTTCCCCGAAGCTCATCCAATTCGTAACCCCGCCCAATCTATGGTGTGTGTGCTCTACAGCAGCGGCGGACCGGTCGCCGCGGTCGCCAAGGCCGAGACCTCGCGGAGGAAGACCATCGCCGGAGCCTCCTCCTATTTCCGCGGTACCGCACCTCACCTCTTCCTCGTTCACGTTGTGACACACGCACACGCACCACCGCACACGCACACGCACCACCGCACACGCACACGCATGACCAACGACTAACGACAATTGGCTGCGACGCGAAGTCAACTCGGAGAGCGACATGAAGGTGCTGCTCAAGATCACGCAGGAGAAGTTCAAGAACGAGGTCCTCACCAACAAGCACCTCAAAACCCACGGCGACATCGTACTCAAGAACCCCTACAAGCAAGGTAAACAACATGTTTATATTTCGGATATATTATACATATGTTTCTATAGATGTATGTTTATATGTATGCACATGTTTATATATATACACTCATAGTAATGTCGTGTGTGTGTTGTGTTGTGTTGTGTTGTGTTGTGTTGTGTTGTGTTGTGTTGTGTGAATTGTGTAACGTGTGTGCGTGCACGGCAGTGCCGGCGCCATCGCCTCCGCGACCATTGCCCAAGGACACCGGCACGGAGAACATGACCCTGGGTATATATCTCTCCGAACGCGACACGACACACGACACACGACACACGACACATTCACCGAAGTGCTGTGAACAACCAAACCAACCATAACGTTGCGTTGGTCGTCGCAGACGAGATCATCAACGACAGCAACCCGTACGAGATCTTCGCAAATGTACAGCACATCGGTGGCGGGTACGTTGCAAAAATAACTAAAACATATCTCATATAAGATATCGAATATCTAATTAGATAGTATATTGTAGATAGTAGATATCAAAATGTTATCTGATATCTAAATACGACACACACACACACACCACACACACACACACACACGATGTGGGGTCGGTTGGGCGAGAGAGCAGAGGGTTCTCGCAGGTCTACTGCGCGGTGATGAAGGAGAGCGGGCAGAAGGTGGCGATCAAGAAGATGTCGCTGGACGAGTGGTACGAGCAGGATCTGCTGGTGGAGATCGTCATGATGAAGGTCAGCAAACACCACAACATCGTCTCCTACATCGACACCTACCGCGACGACCGCAACTACCTCTGGGTCCGCCTCCCCCCCATCTCCCTGTCGTGTGTGTCGTGTGTGTCGTGTGTGTCGTGTGTGTCGTGTGTGTCGTGTGTGTCGTGTGTCGTTGTGTCGTTGTGTGTGTTGCTGATCGTGTGCGTGTGCGGTGGTGCGTTGTGGCAGGTGGTGATGGAGTTCATGGAGGAGGGGAGCTTGGAGAAGGTGATCGACGCGTTCCCGCGCATCAAGATGACCGAAAAGCAGATCGCCTACGTCTGCTTCGAGGCACGCCCCCGCCCGCCCCCGCCCCCAGCTCTCTCGTTCGCTAACGCGTGTCGTTGGTCGTGTCGTTGGTCGTGTCGTTGGTCGTGTCGTTGGTCGTGTCGTTGGTCGTGTCGTTGGTCGTGTCGTTGGTCGTGTCGTGTCGTGTCGTGTCGTGGGAAACACCAGATATTGAAGGCGCTCGAGTACATCCACGGGCTGCACCGCATTCACCGGGACATCAAGGTGCGTAGGGGTCATCGACCACTCCCCCCTGCAAGAACTGTCTGCTGACCTGGGTCGACACACACACACACACACACACACACACACACACACACACACACACACACACACACACACACACATTTATTGTCATGAACGAACGACATCACGATCGTGGGTCAGTCCGGGAACGTGCTCATCGGGTCCAAGGGCGAGATCAAGCTCGGTGCCGCCCCGCCGCTCTCTCTTCTTTCTTTGCCGCCGCCTTCCCCCGAAAGCTAATTTGATCCATTCGCGCGTGTGTGCGTGTGTGCGTGTGCGTGTGCGTGCGTGTGTGCGTGTGCGTGTGTGCGTGTGCGTGTGCGCGTGTGTATGCGTGTCGTGGTGTCGGCCATTCAACGGGAGCAGCGGATTTCGGGTTCGCCGTGCAGCTGACGGAGGGGAAGCGGAAGCGGAACAGTTCCGTGGGCACCGTCTACTGGGTACGCCCTCCCCCCCAGTCCTCACGATACACACGACACACACGACACGCGGGCCGGCTAACGCGTTCTGCTGCTGCTGCTGCTGCTCCCACTCGACGTCGACCAATCAATCGCGCAATGCAGGAGGCGCCCGAAGTGATCAGCGGAGACAACTACGACACGAAAGTGGTGCGCGCGCCCTCACTCGGCCACACACACACACACACACACACACACACACACACACACACACACACACACACACACACACACACAGTCTATACATCTACATATACATCTACCTCTACATACATACATACATACATACATTTCTACAGTCTATATTTGTGTATATCATATGTAAAGAATGTATTTATGTTGTGTGTAAACGTGTTCTCTCTCTCTCGTTGTTGCACAACAGGATATCTGGTCGCTGGGCATATTGGCGCGTGAGATGGCCGAGGGCGATGCCCCGTATTTTGAGCTGCCCCAAATGGCCGTACGTTCCCCCGTCCACCCACACGACACAGACGACCAACGACACGACACACACGACACACACGACACACACGACACACGACCAACGACTCGACACACACGACACGACACGACACGCTTCTATCGCTCACGACACGACCAACGACGCGTGTGGTGGCGCAGGCGCTACAACGGATCTTCAGCGAGGGCATTCCGCCGCTGAAGGACCCCGATCGCTGGTCGGCCGCCTTCCAGCACTTCCAGGAGCTGTGCTTCTACCGCGAGCCCGAGAAGAGGCCCTCGGCCAACGAGCTCCTCCGCGTACGTTTTCTTCGCCCCCTTCCGCCCCCTTCCCCTTTTGCGTCGTGTGTCGTGTTGTGTGCTGTCGACTGACTGGCGTGCCCGACGCGACAATACACACACACACACACACACGCACACACACACACACACACACACGCACACACACACACACACACACACACACACACACACACACACACACACACAACACAGCATCCGCTGTTCTACAACCTGGCGCCGGAGTCGCTCGAGGTGGTGGACCTGATGCGACGCGCCAAGCAGCTGGAGCCCGGCCGCAAGGGCTCCTCCGCCAGGAGGCGAAGCCAAAAGCACGGCAGCGCCCGCGACTCAAGCTGAGCCCCAGCAGCCGCCGCCGCACCAGCCGCTCCCGACACGGTCGCGCTGTGTCGCACAACAAGAATATAATAATTTAGTAAAAACGATTTACTATTTCTGTCAGCAGTCCCGCATCCAGCACTTCGAAACTGTTTGCCAAATTCAGCTTTCAAACCCAAACCCAAACCGAAATAATAAGGAAGGGCGAGGGTAACTGGTTGACGCCG